GAAGGAGAAAACAGAGTTAACGTTTTGGGTCAGGTGACCCTTCCTCAAAACTGAGCAAGGATCACCGGACCCGAAACGTTAACTCTGTTTTCTCCTTCACAGATCCTGCCAGACCTGCTGAGCTTTTCCAGCAACTTTGTTTTTGTTCCTGATTTACAGTATCCACAGTTCTTTTGGTTTTTATGGGCAATAAAAGCTGGCACAGCCAGTGATGCCCATATTCTGTGAATTAATAACAAAATGGTCATTCCTTAACAGATACTTGGTCAGAATCCAGTATCGCCACCCCACCTTCCCAAACAGCACAGTGGGGTATGTGGCATTGACTGCAGCAGTTCAGGAAGGTGGCTCTCTACCATCTTTTTGCAGACAATTGAATTGGGCCATGAGCAAATACAAGTGCAAATGCTTGGACAGGCTGCAGGAAACTACCTAATGCTGTATCAATTATTCCTTTGTCACTTCTCTCGGCCTCTGTTTTCTTTCTGATTTACCTCTTTCAGTATCTTCTGTTCTCTGTTTTCTGGTGATATAATGAGTTGTGATTTTTCAATCACTGATTCTTCTGAATTTCATCTTAAACACTTCCTGATTCTCACTGAAATCAATATTGATTATTAATTTAGCTCCTCATATGTAAGGAAGCCTTCTGCTTTGGTCACTTCTTCCTTCAAGTGTTTAAAACAGTTTCCTGACCAGCGTGAGAGAGGGTACAGAGGAGATTTGCCAGGATGTTGCCTGGGCTGGAGAGTTTGTTATCAAGAGAGATTGGACAGACTTCGGGTTGTTTCTCTTAGAGGAGAGGAGATTGGGAAGGGACATAATTGAAATGTATAAATTATGAGGAGCATGGACAAGGTAGACAGGAAGGTACTTTGTCTCTGGTCATTGATTTCTCCACCCATAAGTATCGATTTAAGATAAGGGGTAGGAGGTTTGGAGGTACGTGAGGGTGTTCCGCAGGGATCAATGGTGAGGCCCCTGATGTTTGTCATGTATATGAACGATTTAGAGGAGAATTTGAGGCACGGTTAATAAGTTTGCAGGTGGCACCAAAGTTGGTGGTATAGTAGGCAGTGAAGGTGACTATCTGAGATTACAAAGAAATCTTGATCACTTAGGCCAATGGGCTGAGGAGTAGCAGATGGAGTTTAATTTGGATAAATGTGAAGGTATTGCATTTTAGTAAAACAAACAAGGGCAGGACTTGCAAAGTTAATGATAGCGTTGATGAGCAAAGAGCCCTAGGGGTTCAGTTCTTTGTAAGTTGTGTCACAGGTAAACAAGGTAGTTAAGAAGGGGTTTATTGCTCAGACCATTGAGTATAGGAGTTGCAATGTCATGTTGAAGTTGCTTCTGGAGTACTGTGTCCAGTTCTAGCCACCCTGCTAGAGGAAGGATATTATTAAATTAGAAAAGATTTACCAAGATGTTACCGGGACTGGAGAGTTTGAATTAGAAGGTGAGGCTGAATAGGCTGGGACTTCTTTCACTGGAGTGCATGAGATTGAGGGGTGACCATACAGAGGTTTATAAAATCATGAGGGGCATAGATAAGGTGAATAGCAAAAGTGCCTTTTTTTTTCTCTAGGGAGGGGCAGTTTAAAACTAGGGGGCATATTTTTAAGGTGAGAGGGAGAAGATTTAAAAAGGACATGAGGGGCAACTTTTTCACCTAGCGGGTGCTTTGTATGTGGAATAAATTGCCAGAGGAAATGGTAAAAGCAGGTATGGTTAGAGCATTTAAAAAACATTTGGGTAGAAATTTGAATAGAACATAGAACATAAAATATTACAGCACAGTACAGGCCCTTCGGCCCTCGATGTTGCGCCGATCTGTGAAACCAATCTGAAGCCCATCTAACCTACACTATTCCATTATCATCCATATGTTTATCCAATGACCATTTAAATGCCCACATCAATAGGAAAGGTTTAGCGGGATATGGGCCAAGCACTGGCAAGTGAGACAAGTTTGGTTTGGGTCAGCATGGATGAGTTGGTCCAAAGGATCTGTTTCCATGCAGTATGACCCCACCTCGCCACCCACCCCCTGCCACCCAGAGGTTGGTGGGGAATCTGGAGCTCACTGCCTGCAAGGATGGTAGAGGCAGACACTTTCATAACATTTAAGAAGTGTTGATATGTGCACTTGCATTGCCAAAGTATCCAAGACTATGAGCCAGGTGCTGTAAAATATGGTTAGAATAATTAGGTGGCTGTTTTTGACCAGCACCGATTTCATGGGCCGCAGGTCCTTTTTTCTGATAACACAGTGTGGAGCTGGAGGAACACAGCAGGCCAGGCAGCATCAGAGGAGCTAACATTTTGGTTGGGACCACCCTTCAGATTTCTGAAGAAGGGTCCCGACCCAAAACATCAGCTTTCCTGCTCCTCCTCCAGCTCCACACTGTGTTATCTCTAACTCCAGCATCGGCAGTTCTTACTATCTCTGAGGTCCTTTTTCTGTGTTGTCGACCTCTTTGATTCTCAGCTGATTCAACCATTCAATAAGATCATGATGTTCATAATCATATTCGAATTGTGGTCTCAAACCCACATTTTTGCCTCCCCAATAAACTTTGATTCTCTTGTTAATTGAGAAGCTACCAACTCTGCCTTCAAAGGTATTATGTTGCCCTCCCTTTACTGCTGTCTGGGGAAGAGTGTTCCAAAAAGACTAAACTCTAAAAGCAAAGCCTTTCTATTCATTTCCCTACAAGTATTCCTAGTTTCACATTGCATTCCCCTTGCAATAAGCAACACCATTCCATTTACAATGACCTTCGTGAAGCACGTGAAACGATGATGAATGATTTAATCAGATTCTCCTTTGATGGTCTACCTGGAGAAATAACCCAGGGATACTTGCTAACTTGGCCCCGTAGTGGAAAGTGACCTTGTGCCAGAAGATTGCTAGCAAACCCTTATTCTAGTAAGTGTTACTGATCTCTAAAGTGCTAGGGTGAAACAAAGTACAACGGCATCATAATTGATAGACCATGATTTTTGGATGAATTCACCAACGCATTCTCCCCATGAAAAGAGTATATACCGGAAAGCTTTGTCTCTAACCTATTTGTGTGCAATTAATGTGTGAACTTTCCTTTTACCATGACCTTCCTGGTATGTAACTAAGTGTTGGTAGTCTGATTTATGAATATTCCTGTCAGTAGGTGAATAGGAATATACTTGGTATTTAATTTGGTTTCAGACATCTTTGCTTTCTGTTCCACAGAAATGGAGTGGCCCTGAGAAGCTACTGGCATTGGATGAGCTTATTGATCGCTGCGAGACTTCACAGATCAAATACATGATGCAAGTCATTGAGCCTCAGTTCCAACGAGACTTCATCTCCCTCCTTCCAAAAGAGGTACGTGTCTAAATGGTAATGAACCCTTGCTGTGCTGTCTGATCAGCAGCTGGTGATGCAGAGCATGAAGTTACAGTTCTGATTTTGAAGGTACACACAGTAAAATGAATGAGGAAGTTGTCCCAATCAAGCAGGGTTACTGCTTGACCAGAGATAGTAGGAACTGCAGATGCTGCAGGCTGCTGGACCAGGTTTGTTTCCAGTTGCATCTTACATGCCTCTTTATTTCTATCAGCAGATTGTCAGAGATTTGTTTTTTTCCTAATCAACTCTGTCCCTTTGCTGAACATGCTGACTGAAACTGAGGTTCTGTTTTTCAGACACCATTAGCTCCATTGATCCTTACCCAAAAGCTGTCTGCTTGTTAGAGATCAGAAATTCCTGCCCTTATCCAGCTTTGGCCTCTTGTGGATTCATCATCCCTTACAAACAGCATCTGTGTTGCAAGGCCAAAATTTTGAGAACAGGTTGTTGAAATGTCACCTAATTGAGGTCTTTAAAATAAATTTTAATCGCATGGACTGAGCATGGGAAAGAACAGAAGCAGACGCCGTCAATACAAGGAGTATGATCGAGGTTTGTGGAGACACAAAAATTGATACAGTGAGAGTAACTGTAAACTGCAGGAGGAAATGCACAGCCTTGTCAGGTGGACAGAACAGTTGCAAATGGAATGAAGTGGAGAAAAATGTGAGGTAATACACTTGGAGAGTGAACAAGGCAAGGAATTGCAGTATGCTTGGTGGGACCCCAGACAACATTGAAGAGTAATGTTGACATGCATGTCCACAGATCACTGAAGATAGCAGGTTAGGTAGATAAGGTAGTTGAAAATGCATATGGGATACTTATCTTTATTAGCTAAGGCATAGAATTCAAGAGCAGGGAGGTTATTCTGGCATTGTATAAATTGCTGGTTATGTCACAAGTAACATTCTGTGTGCAGTTTTGGTCACCATATTTTAAGAAGGATGTGACTGCACTGGAGAGAGTATACAGGAGATTTACCAGGATGCTGCCTGGACTGGAGGGTCTGAGTTATGAGAAATTTTTAGATAGGCTGAGGCTGTTTTCCTTGGGGCTCTGAAAATTGAGAGGCACCTGTGGAGATGTATAATCACTGTTTATTACAGATATATAGATTCCAGCTACAGGTAAACAATTATAAGCCATCAACACAACTCTTATTGGTTAAAAATCTCAAACCCCTTACAAACACTCCCTCATACACACATCCCTCCACCCACCCACCCCCAATCCAATGGGGATGATGGGCAGAGGGAAGGAGAAGGCACTTCATTGGGACCTCGCCACACAGTTGCTGAGAGATCCTTTTGCCAGA